AAACAACGAACGTGCTACTTGCCCGGGCCGGTGGCGGCAGATCCTCGCTTCCTGCGCGGGACTCGGTCCTTGCCGTTGTTGTGCGTGATGAAGGGCACCGTCCGCCCTCGCCACGTCCACCCGCCCGCGCCCGACTGAATCGTGATGAGGAACTGCAACTTGGCTCGCAGGCGCGAGACATGCACTTCCACCACGGCCGTCGTGCCTCCCGTGTCCTCATCCTGTGTGAATACATCCAGCCAGCACTCGAGTAAGCCCAACACCCGCGGCGTGTGTGCCTCAAAAAAATTTCCCATTCCAAAAAAAAACTGCCGAGGCGGGGAACTGCGCGGTACCTTGATGGTGCTCCGATCGGCGCAGACGAAGAAGTCTGGGCACTCTTGTCCGGACGTCGACGTGTCTGTCTGCTGAAGTGCGGCGGCGGCGGGGTTGTCGCATTCTACCAGGCCCAACTGCAGCTCTTGCCAGGTGAACCGATTGTTGCACCGTACCTCCACCCGCAGCCGCTTGCCCTTGCCCTTGGTCACTCTGTGGTGGGGCGCAAGAGAGGCAGATCTCGGTCAGTCAAAAGTGTGTCACACGCACTTCTTGTTTAAAAGCCCCGAAAGCCAATCGGCTCAGTCTCACACAAATTATCTGGTGTAATGATCTTTTACCGGAGGGGGGGAGCGTACCGGATGCGTTGGCTGTCGTTCAGAGGCAGCCACACTCCGTGGGAGCCGCGAGGCTTGTGCGTGAGGGTCACCGTTGCCGCCGCCGGCGACAGGTCCACCTGTGCTGCTGACGATGTTGACATCGACAGCGGGTTGGTCGCAGAAAGAGGCGCGGGGGCCGGCAGGAGCAGCGGGAGGTGCGGTGGCGGTGGTCGATGAGGATCATCAAAGATGGTGTTGATCAACTCGTCGATCGATGTCGGTACCGGCGGGGTGCCGTGGGATGCCAGGGTGGCCAGGCTCACGTCGCCGAACTGCGGGTCGGGCGGCAGGCCTGGGGCACCGGCGACTAAGGCAAGGTCCTGTGGGGAGTAGAGCATGGGCGACTGCAGCAGAATCTCGAGCTCGCGCTCCAGGTCGAGCTCATCCTCGTGCGGGCTGTGTTGATGTGGTTGGTGCGGGTGGTCGTGTCGGGGCAT